AGGCATGCGCCACCACACCCAGTCACACTTTTTTTTTAAAGTTGTATTTATTTCTATTTCATGTGTGTGGGCGTTTTGCCCGCATGTATGTATGTACACCATATGTGTGCCTGGTGTCTGTGGAGGTCAGAAGAAGACATCAGATCCCACAGAACTGGAGTTACAGAGAGCTGTGAGCCACCATGTGGGTGCTGGGAACTGAACCTAGGTTCTCTGCAGGAGCAGCAAGTACTCTTAACTGCTGAGCCACCTCCCCAGCCCCAACACATCCACTCTTGCTATAACTCTTTAACCCATTTATCTGTTAATCACAAGAACAGAGATTCGTGAGGAGAGGGCCTGATCACCTCTTAAAGGTCCTGTCCATCGCACTTAGTGTCTTACCATGGAGATTCAGTTTCAACATGCATTTCAGAGGAGACAAACCATGTTAAACCACAGTGCTGGCTAAGAGCATGGACTCCGCAGCTGGACAGACTGGGCTTGGATTCCAGATTCACTCTCCTGACTATTGCCTTTTATGGCTTAGACTTTTTAACCCCTCTGATCCTACCTACTCATCTGTAAAGTAAGAAGAGCAACAGGACTTAATGCCACGGGGGTGGTTGTGAATAAAGTGAATTGGTAAGTGTAAAACACTTGGTACAGTGCTGGTACCTCGTCCTCGGGATGTGCTGGCAGCTACAGTATCACAGAGGACTCTGTGAGTGCTATGTGCTATGCGCTACATCATAAGAATTTAGTGTATGTTAGCAACAGTTGTTACTAATATTATTATTATCTCTAGGAGCAAGGACAGTTAAGGCAAATAAAGATAATATTCTTTATCTTGGCCTTAGGGTAAGAAGCTTAGCTCTCCTAATTCATTCTCTCCATAGCCCACTCCCTCCTTTTTAGTAAGAGTAAAAGTCTCGGAGAGGTTGGGTGACTTGCTCAGGGACAAAATGCTAGTTTAAGAAGAGCCAAGTGGCATCCTCGGATCTCGGACCTTCATAGAGAGCTTATTCCTAGGAATGACCCATTTGGTCTCATCCTCCCCTCCCCGACTCTAACTCATTCTTTGTCCTTTAGAAAAGCACTTCTCACTGTGCCTCAATCTTCTCAGTGATAAAACTAGTGAGGACAGTTGTAACAGTCAGGATAGGTATTGATAACTGCTGTAACAAACAGTCCTCTCACCGGTGGATTAACATTGTGGGTCAGGGATGTTGGAGGGCTTTGTGGAGTCATTCTGGGCTCTAGTCTGCTGCCTGCCATCTTGACTCAGTCTCCATCAAGATTGCCTCATCAATCTCCCCTGGTTCCTAAATAGTTAGCCATTAGATGGCAGGAGGCGGGAGAGGGAGGACACAGAAGGTACACTGCACTGAACCATCTCAGCCCCAGGTAACAAGCCTCACTTCCATCCACATTACAAGAGCCAGTGATGGAGCACCAGCCAGGTATGAGGGACAGGGAAATCAGGTCCAAGTGTGACTCAACAAGAAGATACCCCAAGCCCTTGTGATCTGAGCCATCCCCTGCCTCAGGGATGAGACAGCTTCTGTGATCTTTGGCTCCACTGGAGTAGAGTCTGGACCCTGCAGCGTCCAGCCCTATCTGTAGCCTAGACCCTCCTCCCTGAGCTCTGCAATTCCTCCCGCCCAGCAGGAAGAGAAGCCTTCCCTGCCAAGCCTCCTTGAGGGTGGGTGGCTGGTGAGATAATGATCTTACCATGCTTATTGCCTCTTGGAAGGCAGGTGCTGGAAGAAAACCAAGTCCGCTCTGATTTCTCTCCCTGTTCCCTTCACATTCCTTCCCAGGATAAATTTAACCAGTGGAGCCTAGGATGCCAACTTCTTGTTCTCTGAGTCCATGTCAGAGCATTTGTCATGGATGCAGCCTTAGGCTGTACATGAAGGCTGCAGAACCACAGGCTCAACCCCAGCCCCGCCTCAAACATCTGTGATTCATCCCCGCTCCCCATGCCCAGTTGCCACGAGTACATCTCTGTGACAAGGATCTTGAATTCTCCAGTTGTGTGAGAATGTAGAATTTAGAAGGGCTCTAAGACCTTGCACCAGGGTGCTTACATCATTAAAACTAGCTAAAGACAGATGGTTCAGAGATTCCAAGTTTGGGCTGTGGAGTCCTAGAATCAGAAGTCATCAGAATCCTGACTCAAGCAAGTTACCTGCTCATCTCTCTCATCTATAAAATGGGTCAACAACAGTGCATTATTCATGAGGTTAACTGAGGTATTCTACATATATTTCTGGAGCTTTATAAATAGTGGGTGCTGAGATGGTCATGGTCCGTCTGGTCTACATACCCTCAAGCCTGCCTGAAAGCCATAGGTTTCTGAAATCTTCTGTCTATTTCAAATATTTCTTTGAGCTATCCCTGGAGGTCTCCTTGAAGGTCTGGGCTCTTGGGTCTCATGGAGATAGAACTGTTACCCTTCCTGCCGTCCATTCCATCCCCCTTCTGCTGCTGCATTTGAACTCACTCTGCTTTGCTTTGACCTGTATGGAGCTCTCCCGCTGTTACCCAGAGTTAAAGATGGTCTCATTCCTCACCCATTCCCCTGACCTCCAAGCCCTTCCTTTCTTCCTGCTCAGTGGCTGTACTTCATCCAGTATCCCTCTTAGGTCACTGTCATTTTTACCCCGGGTCTCACTCTCTGGAGAAGACTCTCCTGCCTTCCCTCACTCTGTCCCTTCAGCTGCAGGGCCCACAGGAAACACCTGGCATCAGGCACCCTTGAGAATGCTTCCACTGAATGGTTCTCAGCCCATTACTTGGTGGCAGGTTCAGCACTATGGCCTTGCCCAGGCATGGGTAGGGGCAGAAACCTGCTACCCGAACTTCCTGTACTGCTTCCTGATGACCGAAGCATCTGGGCCTGAGCTTCCCTGTCTGCAAAGTGGGGCCAGTTAGAGTAGGTATCCCGAGGGGACAGGGGTGGCCCCAAAAGGTGTGATTACGTGTAGAAGCAATGCACAAGGGTACACATGGGACAAGAGGAGCCAACCTAGGTGGTGAAGGACCCCGAGGCTGGCAGCCTGTGGAAGCTGTTATCCCAGTGCTGGCATGGGCAAGCAAAGGGAGAAAAGCTCGGAATCTAGAGAAAGCTGAAGCCACCCTGTAAGCCTGTGTGGGAGCTAAGCCACTGCTGGAGGCTAAGCCGACTGAATACCCCGTCCTTTCTGCTCTCCTGTTGGTACTTCCTTTGGATGAACCCACCTAAAAGCCAAGCAGACTGCTTGGTAGAAGCAGCAAGAGACAGGCTCCCTGGGCCAGAGCTGGCCAGAGAAAGACGGTGTCTAGTGGACAGAATATCTGTTGTGGGATTTCAGTAGTGTTCAATGAGTCGGTCTCAGTGAGTATTCAGCTGCTGCTAACAGAGCTTTGACAGGACGGGCACCCCTATCTTTTTTTTTTTCCTTTTTTTTCTTTTTGGTTTTTCGAGACAGGGTTTCTCGGTGTAGCTTTGCGCCTTTCCTGGAACTCGCTTTGGAGACCAGGCTGGCCTCGAACTCACAGAGATCCGCCTGGCTCTGCCTCCCGAGTGCTGGGATTAAAGGCGTGCGCCACCACCGCCCGGCCCTCGGGCACCCCTATCTTATAGACATGGAAGCTGACACCCTGAGAGCTAAGAAACATTAAAGGCCACACTGTTTACAGGTGATGACTGTGGGATCCAGACTCATTTCTACTTGACACTGGAGTTCCCCAACGGCATTTCCAATCCCAAGCCTAGCACTTATGAGCTTCGAAGCCACAGGCAGTTCCCCTCCCTGCCATAAGGCGTCTGCAAATTAGGGTGTGAACGTCACCCTTCTGCGTGGGCACCACTGAGTCTGTGGGAAGAATGAAATGTGATCACTCCTATGAGCCCCCAGCTCACCACAAGGCATCTAGCAGCCAGAGCTGAGGAGCAAAAGACAAAGCAAAGGACCTGGGCAGATCTAGTGCTGAGTTTCCAATGGGAAATCCTGGGTGCATCATTTAACCTTGCAGAGCCTCAGAAAATATGAAAATCATTTCCTCTGCCATAGGATGGAGGCAAGGGTAGAATGAGGTGAGGGAGCAGGAAACGCTTTTTCTCAGTTACGGTATAAAACATATTTCTTCAGCAAATAACAATGGCCAACGCCAGTGTATGTTTCCTGTGCCCAGGGCTGTTCTACAACACTGCCACGTATTCTCAGTTCTCATGGCAACCCCATAGAGCAGGACGGTTTTATTGTTGCCACTCAAGATGCCGCCACTGAGTCTCAGGTTAAATGACATGTACACAGTTATAGGAGTCAGGCTTTGAGCCCAGGTAGGTTAAAGTTGGGTGCTGAGATACCCAAGCAAGTAGAACTAAAGAAGCCTGGGGCCAGTTGTGGTCAAGCTGTAGTTCAAGCTGTCATAAACAAAGCTCAAAACGGGGAGAGAGGTTTTCAGAGATGGCTCATTGGGTAGAGTACTTGGTGCTCAAGCATAAGGGCCTGAGTTCCATCCCCAGCACTCACACTTTTAAAAGCCACATGTCTGTAATCCCAGTGCTGAGAGGGTGGAGATGAACGCTTTCCAGGGTCTCATTAACCAGCCCGTCCAGCCAACTGGTGAGCTCCAGGTTTAGTGAGAAACACTGTCTCAAAGATGAGGTGCAAGGCAGTCAAAGAAGACATCTGATCTTGACCTCAAGATACACACATGCATAGGCCATTATATTCACACTCATGGGCACACACACACACACACACACACACACACACACACACAAACCTTGTGTCGAGATTATTTTAAGAGGAGAGGCTTAGTTCTCACCAACAACGATGTTGATTCTGTAGGTTCTAGGTATGGCCCCAGATTCTGTTGTTGAAGTCTCCTTATCAGTGCAGGAAGAATGATAGCAGGCATCTTAACCCACCATCAACTGCTCGATAATGACTATTGAGCTCTAAAGAGCCCTAAGAGTTCAGGCAGGAGAATTCATAGGCAGACCCTGTTTCCCCTCTGGCCTCCAGGTTTGCCAAATACTACAAGATGGAGAACGGCAGCGAGTACCGCACACTCCTGAAGGCTTTTGGCATCCGCTTTGATGTGCTGGTGTATGGGAACGTGAGTCCTGGGATCCAGCAGATGGGGGGGGGGCTCCAATTCCTGCACTTGGGCCTTGAAGAGGCTCTCAGGGGAGGGGAGTCTTCAACTGGCCAACTGGCCGCATCTCCCATCAGCTCCCTATGCTATGTAGGGTGGAACCGTTTGACCCACTAAAAACTCTTCAGGCTCCACAGCCTCTCCTGTAACAGGAGCCCAAGTTTAACCTCAGCCCTCACCCCGTCTCTGTTCAACCCTCTGTCTTCATGCTTTGCTCTATATACATACAGGCTGGCAAGTTCAACATCATCCCTACCATCATCAGCTCCGTGGCCGCCTTCACTTCTGTGGGAGTGGTAAGTTCAGTCTTTCCAGCCTCTTACAGGGCAGTCAGGGTGGGGCCAAGCCAGGCATGGTACTATCAGACAGCTCAGGGTAAGCCCTCCTCTGGGCTCCAACACCTGCTGCTAAGTAGCTCTGGTTTGGGCATCTCCCGTCATTACCTCCCAAGGCTCGTGGCTTCCAGAGACTGCATCCCTGTTTTCGGGTGGTTCTGTCTTATAAGAAATTCCTGCCTCTCACCATGAAGGGAGGGAGAGACTCCATGTTTCCACAGTCCTAGGATACCTTAGTGAGGAAAACAGAGCCACCAGGCAAGGTGGGGACAAAGGCTCACTCCCAGGGACTCCTCCTCTACCTCCCTCTGCTTCTTCCTTCACACTCTCTGTGCTTGTGAGCCAAGGGCATTTCTCAGTAGCTAGAGAGGTGGGCCATAGAGGATCCCGAAGAGCCTCTGGGAATTTTTTTGAGAAGAGCTGTACAGTCGTCTCTCTGGAAGACTCAACCCCTTCATGCCCCTCCCCTCACAATGCTTCGGCCACCTGTCTGCTGAAGGTAGTCCTGGGCACGAGCTGGGCAGCACAGGGGCCACTGGAGCGCTGCCCATCTCAGAGCCGCTGTTTGAACCTGCACCGCTGCTCTCCCTCCAGGGGACTGTTCTCTGTGACATCATCCTGCTCAATTTCCTCAAAGGGGCCGATCACTACAAAGCCAGGAAGTTTGAGGAGGTGAGTTGGGGAAGCAGAGCAAGGAGGGCTGCTGGACCCTCGATGGCTTACTGTCCAGGGTGTTCTGAATGGAAGTTCAGTGGGCCTCCATTCGTGTGTGGGGTCCAAGAGAGCGCTGGGCCAAGAATGGACTCTTCGGGGATTTAGGGCTGGGTGTAGCTCAGGGGTCTGTTGCTTACCTAGCATGCACAAAGACACCAGCCCTTCCCTTACGAGAAAACAATCGGGGGGGAGGAGTTCTGTGAGTCATTGTCAACATGCCCACCACTCACTGTCACTTGTCCACTTCCGGGGCAGAACGGATCCTGCCTGGAGATGGCCTGGGTTACAGTTTTCCCTTGGAGCGCATGCAAAGTCCTGGGTTCTCAGAGACTTACTCTACCTCCCTCAATGACCCGGCAACCCCACCCCACCCCAGCTGCTGAATTTGTCAAACGGGTCACACTGGAAGATGCTGCCCAGTGTCAAACATGACGATGCCAACTCTTCTGCTTGCAGGTGAATGAGACAACACTGAAGGGTACTGCCTCCACCAACCCGGTGTTCCCCGGTGACCAGGCCACCGTGGAAAAGCAGTCCACAGACTCGGGGGCCTACTCCATCGGCCACTAGGGCCCCTCCCCAGGGTCCCATGCTCACCCTTAGGCTGCAGACTCTCCAACAGGCCACCCTGTCTGGGCAGATGGGGGTGGGATGGGGGAGAGAGGGGCTCTCATTTCTGCTGCTCATCCCAAAGACCACAGCCAGGTATCTAGGTCCTTACTGTTCAGCAGTCAGGTAATGCTTCCTGCTAAGACCTGAATCTTGCCTTTACCCCTTGCATGCCTCCCATCTGCTTCCCAGGGTCCTAGGACAGCAGTATCCATCCCTTTCCAAAGGAGAGAGAAAATGGTTGCTATGGTTACACCCATAGGGCCAACCAAGTACCAGGCACTTCCATACACATTATCTCATTGGGGCCTTAAAATAACCCTATAGGGTATATTTCTGGGTGTTTGTTTGCTTGTTTGTTTGTTTGTTTTTGAAGAGAAGCAAAGGCTCAGGGAGACTGAGTCATTTGCCCCAGTCCACGTGACCAGAAAGTGAGGTTTATACCCAGGTCTGACCCCTTTGCCCACATCCGTGAGGGAAGAATGAACTCCCTGCATGGGGTTCCTTTGTGTCCGTTGCCTTTCCGGTGACTAGATCACCAGTGAGCTTTCTCGGCAATGCAGGCCCTACTTTAGGGGAGCCCAGTGAGATGGAGTATAAACTCTCATTTCTGACTTGGCCAAGTCCAGCTTCAGAAGGAAATAGGAGGTATGTCTGTTGGTGAATTTTTCCTCACCTCACCCCGTATCTCAAACCCAAGCTGAGGAGTAGACCTTTGTTCTCCAGATAGGCCCTCACACATCTGGACCCTCACTCCAGAATCCAGATAGAACACACACACACACACACACACACACACACACACACACACACACACACACACACACACGACAGGTGAGAAGTGATTTCTAAACCTAGCATCATGCCCCAGGACATCAGCTGTCCTTGTTTAAGCATTGTTGGAAAAGCCTTACTTAGTGGCTAGCGATGTAGCTGAGTAGATACAGTGTTTGTCTAGCATGTGTAAAGAAAGCCTAGGGCCAACCTCCAGCACTGTATAAACCAGGTATGGTGGTGCACACCTGTAATCCCAGCACTCAGGAGGTAGAGACAGCAGTGTGGGGAGGGGGGAGGAGTGTCAAAAGTTCAAGTTCATTGTGGCAACATAGTTAAGTCTGAGGCCAGCCTGAGTCCCATGAAGCTGTCTCAAAAAAGAAGTTAGGAGGCACAGTGAAATCCAATGCCCTGTGAGCATTCAGCCGGGTCAGCCAGGCCTGTTCCATGTGATCCTAATAGGGTAAAGGGCCTCAGGAACCATCATGTCCAACCCTCTTGCTTACAGATCAACACTAAGGCCAGAAATGGAAAACGGCTTCCCTTGTGCCATAGTGAAGTGTCCTGTGCTCAGAGAAGGACACTATTGAACAGAAGTCAAGTCCATCTTGTCTCTGTCTTTCAAAGAAAAGAGGAGAGGGAGAGGAAGCCCTAAATCTCAGAAGCTCAAGGACAGAATCAAGGTTTGGGGAGGAAGCAACTTGAAAGGCTTTTTTGGTTTGGTTTGGTTTTTTGGTTTGGTTGCTTTTGATGAAAAGACGTTGCTATGTATCCCTGGCTGACCTCAACTTTACAGTCCTCCTCCCTCACCCTTTCCCCAGGATTGGGATTTACAGGCAAGTGTCATCATCCAGCTGGGGGCACCTCTTTAAAAAGAATACAGAATTAGGTATCAGAGAGGTTCATGCAAATGAGTGGGCCTGAGGTATAAGTTTCATTAGTGTCAGGGCCAGTCTCCTCTGGGAACATGGGCATGGTGATGAGGTCTTAGCAGAGATGAGCATACATGTAGACAGAGGGCTGGCCCCTCACCAGAAGGTACAGAGAGATGTGGGGGAAGGGGTAGTGTAGCAGTACTTTGGGAAGGCTTCTACAAGAGTACTTGAACAGACCCAACCCCAATGATCTCCACCCAGGGGGAGAAGGGGTAAGAGTCCTCTCACCAGGTCCATCAATCCTGCCCTCCATCTGCTACTCACAGCCCCCATCATGATGGGCGATGGGATACTGTCTCCCTAGCACCAGCATCAGCTCCTGGGTAGTATCCAGTAGACCTGGCCAGGCTTCATCTCTCCAGCACAGACATCAGTAAAGGAAACAGCACATCCTCCAATAAGGAGGCCCCCAGGCCCCCTTTGAGCTAAGGCGGAGTTCACAAAGATGCTTCCTAGGAGGAGATGGAGACACTGTGTCCTGGAAGGGAACTGTACCCCAGACTAGGATAATCCTCCCCCAGGTACCTGAGCCTCTTCTGGACCTTCCAGTAAGTGTGTAAGCCCCATTCTCTACTCCCCTTTGTCTGAATCAAGTCCACTTTTGTGTGCTATTAGATGTAGGCTAATAGAAATTACAACAGCCAGCTTGTATCTGATACACTGTGATTTACTCAGCGCCGTCACCAACATGGTCACACGGGCCCTGACCACACCTGGGGAGCTTTCTGTGGTTTGTTATTAATTTGGTAGAAAAACAAATAGACAGTTCTTGGAACTAGAGCTGGAAGTATTGCCTAACTCAATCTCCATTTTACAAAAGAAACTGAGGCTGAGTGAAATGAGGGAATGGAAGCAGAAGTGACGTGAACCCAGAGATTTGTGATGCTGGAGTGTGAGATGTTGACTTCTGTGTGTATCTATTGGGGGGAAAGTCAGGAAATTTGTTGACTCACCTTTTGTTTATATATGTTACCTGGGCTAAGCAAGATCCTGCTGCAGTAACTGGTAAAATCTAAGCGAAGTAGCTAGGCAGGATGAGGCACACAGTCTCCCAGGGGCAGGGAAATAGAGCTGGGGAATTCTGAGAATCATCTGGTGCCCAGACCTGCACTAGCCAGAAGCAGGAACAAGTTACAGAGCCAACTGTCTGAAGAGATGCCAAGGCTGTCCTCCTGAGTCTCTAGAAAGCAAACGCAGTGGACACAGCAGTCTGTTTCCCTTCCCTCCCACCAGGTCCCTGCAATACCCTGACATTCCATACCCTTCCTTTCTGTGTTCCTTCTCACAACACCTTGTTCTCAGCAAGTTACCAGTCTCCTGGGGATAGTAATTCGTACAGTTCTGGGGACTGTCTTCTCTCAAGATTACTTGCCTTTTAGTCAAGAGCTAAGCAAGAGTGAGAGGCCGTAAACAGCCAGCACAATTGCTACATCAGGGCACAGTGCGATACTCAGAAACAGTGCCAGAGACTTGAGGAGCATTTTACTAGCTAGGCGTGCTCTAAGGAGGCTTTAGTCGAGAAGGAGCTTGTCCCCACACACATACACACCTCTGCCCATGGCTCTGGCCATCAGGGTGTTGGGCTCCTTGGTTAGACACCATTCTCTGTCAGGGAAGGAGAGGAGGTGGCGAGAAAGGCAGCGAGTGACTGCATCCGGAACTTGGTGTACCCCGAAATGTCCTCGTTACTGCTCATCATCCCACCCCCTGCAACAATCCCACTTTCTCTAGAAGCATTGAGTCAAGAGTCCACTTACTGCAGTGTTCGATGCAGGGACCTCCATGGCCCCCCACTCTTAGGCAGCTCCACCTCTTGACAGGATTCTTTGCCATGATTAGGAGCTGAGTCAACAATCCCTCTACCAAGACAGACCCTGGGCATCCTCCATCAGTGAGGTGCCATGGGTGTCAGGACCTACTCATCCATGTTCAAAGACCTCCATGTTCAAAGGACTTAGCTATACTGTTTCTCCCCAATCCACTGTCTAGGACTGTGCCCCATCCCTGTTCTGTTCCCTCAAATCCAGTAGCCTTAGAGAGGGTGTGGGGGGGATACTAGTATACATTTGTATTTTGGGTACCCCACATTTACAAGTGCATGTACAGAAATTCTCTCACCATGAGCATACGGACACACACAATTTGAGGTTTTCTCTATACTCTTTAATACCCAGTCTCAACTGTGAACCTCCCGTTCTGTCTACTCTAAATTCTTTTTGTGAAATCCTTCTAGCCCAGTGTCCTAGCTGGCTTAAAGTTAAAGGTAAAAATGATATTCCCTCCATCTCCCCAGGTCTGAAAAAGTGACGTGAAGGAATGCCGAGGCCCAAGATAATAGAACTAAGGGTGAGATCTAAGCTCTTGCCAGTCTCTTGCCTTGGGCTTGAGTGTAGGATAGATCCCTTCAAAACTGTAACCTCTCTACAGAAAGAGTGGGTGATAATGGAGGAGAGGGCCGCCTCTCTCTTGAAACACCCAGGAGGAGGCTGAGAGAATGGGAAATGGGAATCATTGCTGGATGCCAAAAAGCATAGCACTAGAGGAACAGACTTCTGTAAAAGAGGGTTTTCACCCCTCAGTGTGTCCCCCACTTTCAATCTCGGTATTGCACACCAGCTCTTGAGTAAGCCCCTTCTCCTCTATTTGGAAAGCCACTCAACCCCCCACCTCATAATAAGACCAAGCAAAAGCAGGACCAGCTCCCCAGCAGATGGCTCTTCTCTGCTCTCCTCTCACTGGCTAGAAAGGTGGAATGAGAGCCAGTGAAGAAGAGACTGCAGAGAGCGTTGCTCAGCTTCCGGGTGACTTGGTACTGCCACCACACAATGCCCCAAGCTCTGTCACTGCTCCCCACCCGCATCAGGCTGCCTAGTCCCACCGTCTTTCACTTCTAGGATTTTCCCAACAAACAGGGGTCTCTGAGAAAGGGCAATGAAGAAACAAGACTTTTTGGGCTTGGTGGTGCACGCCTTTAATCCCAGCACTCAGGAGGCAGAGACAGGCGGATCTCTATGAGTTCGAGGCCAGCCTGGTCTACAGAGCGAGTTCCACAAAGGAAAGAAACAAGACTTAGGTGATGCAGTGGAAAGCCTGACTTTTTGACCAGGAGAGGCAGGGGACAGAACTGAATGCCAAATGATGGGACACCAGCAGCCAGGGCTGTGAAGGCAGGAGGTTCGAAGGTAGAGTCCTTCCTCCAACTTAGAAGGAGCAGATGAAGGGCAGGCGGCGATTGCAGGAGGCTCTTCGCCAATGGCCCCCTGCAGCAGAGAACACAGTGATATAAACTGCCTGGGGTCAGCACTGAGCTCCACCCCTCCCTCGTCAGGTACCTTTCTACCCCCTTCCATAGCGATCATCATCTTTGGAGGAAGAGATTTGTGGCAACAATTTGCTATATCATAGCTGGTAGGTAGCAAGGGTGGCATGCAAATCACAGCCCTCTTGCTCTAGCATGCATTCAGCCACTATACTAAAGTGCTGCACATCTGCCATGTATGCTGTTCCCCACATCTGCAGCTGGAAGCTAGGCTCTTGTCTCAGCCATCACCAATTCCTACATCCACATCTTCCATTCACATCTGCTGGTCTTGCTGACGACTTAAGTCATTCAAGTTTGTTAACCTGGTATCAGAGGAGGTAAAGGGCTCCCACCTACTCCCTCTACAAGGTATCCCATCATCTGGACTTGCCCTGAGAAGTCTTTACACCTCAGCCCTCCCCACAGACCAAGTTTGAGTTCTCCATATGGAGTGAGTAGATTTGAAGAGGTGTGTCCAGGCAGCTCAAAGAAATAGCAACTAAAATTCTACTTTATCAATGCATCTCCTTTGTCTGGAGCCTATCCCTCTCACCTGTGGTGCCTAGAGTCACACAGTGTCCTCCCCCATTCCCAGGCTGCCCTGGGGCCCAGTATCCAAAATCCCAGCAGCTCCCATCAGTCCAGCGAAACTTCTTCCAGAAGAACTAGAGAAGAAAGAAAGTGGATCAGAGAACCAAAGAAGGCAGGAAGATCCAAGCCATTGCTGACTCCTCTCACTGCCTGGAAAGAGGCCGAATGCTCTCACCACCCATCTCTCAGGGTTTGCAGGGGATGTGATGGAGAATAACCATTGCTCCCAGACACCATACAGGGGAGATTTCCCCAACCGTGCTGATCTTATTAACATGCAGGCTCGGATTCAGGAGTTCAGGCATGGGGCCCATTATTCTGCATTTCTAACAAGCTACCAGGTGATACTGATGATGATTGCCCATGGACCACTCCTCTAGTACTAAGTATAATTCTTTCATCCACTATCTTGGGATTACCACTAGGGATGGAGATGCCTGTTTTACAGCTGAAGAAAAACCAAGGATCTGAGGGTGCTCCTCAGATAGTAAACAACTGGGATGAGCCCGGAGTCAGTCTCCTGGAATCTGTCTGTCACTTCAGTTTTGTGTAATCACTTGTCTCAAAAACCCAGCTCTGAGGACTGGAGAGATGGCTCAGCTGGTAAAGGGCTTGCCTGAGTTCAGTCTCTAGCACTTACATTAAATATCCAGGCTGCTGGTTCACACTTGGAATATCAGTGTTAGGTACCAAAGATAAATGGATTCCTTTGGGGTTCATAGTCAGCAAGTGTAGCTGATCAGAGAGCCTAGGTCCCAATGAGAGACTCTGTCTTAAAAAATAAGCTAGGTGGCTCCTAAGGAATGACACCCGAGGTTGGCCTATGGTCTCCACATTCAGGTATACACAGAAAACACACACACACACCAAACCTAGGAAAGGGTGAGAGAGAAGTAATAAGGAACCCTTATATAACATGTACTAATTTTGATCTGAAGTGTCCCCGCCCCAAAGACCATGTGTTAAAGACTGTGTCCCCAACTCGTGATAGAATTGGGGGGTGGGGGCTGGAGAGATGGCTCAGAGGTTAAGAACACTGGCTGTTCTTCCAGAGGTCCTGAGTTCAATTCCCAGCAACCACATGGTGGCTCACAACCATTTGTAACGAGATCTGGTGCCCTCTCCTGGCATGCAGGCGTACATGGAGGCAGAATGTTGTACACATAATAAATAAATAAATCTCTTTAAAAAAAAAAGAATTGGGGGTGGTAGAACATTTAAGAGGTAGAGTTTACTTAGAGACAGTTAGGTCATCTTGGGCATGCTCTTGAAGAGATTGCTAGGACCCTGAACCCTTTCATTCTTTGCTTCTCTGTCACCAGAAGTAAACAGTCGTCTTCTGCCACACACTCCCACCATGACATCCTGTGTGTCAAATCCAAACCAACACCTTCAAGTGAGTGTAAACTGAAGCCTCTGAACATATATGTCAAAATAAGCCTTTCTTCCTTATAAATTGATTCTCTCAAGCATTTTGTCACAGTGACAGCTGACTAGCTGATAACAATTGTCAATTTTCTTGGTGTAAATTTACCATGGCTAATTTTGAGCTACAAGCCTGAAGTCATTGAATATGAAATTAGTGAGAGGTATGGACAATCAATTCTCCCAAGACAGTACAGGGCAACTCCAGCATCCCATTGCCCATCATTTAAAGGACACCTTAACTGTGAGCCAGCAAATGATCCCTCAAGACAATCAAAACTTTCTATACTGAGTTGGGTCTGAACTTACCCAGCCCTTAAGGATGCCTCCAATCCAGATGCGGGACTGGTTGATCTTCCTGGCCAAGCATTGGATTTGGTAGTTGAAACTGTAGCTATGGATGGACGCAAGATTGCCTCGGTAGCATCTCCTGCAGACACGCTGCAGAGGGGAGAGATGGGATAGAGAATTCACTCTCTTTTGCCTCAAGATCCTGAATCACCAAGAAAGATCCCTACAACTATTCAGATTCATTATAAGGATTCCACTTGCTTCCATTAAGCCTCTATTTTGCTTCTTTATCAGTGGTCAGGACATCCTTGCAGGAAATAATAATCCTGATAATAATTATAGCCACCATTTAGAGACTGTTTCACATGGCAATTCAAATGCATAATCTCTTCTGATCTGCACTACAGTTAAAAAACAGCAGTACCATACAGTCAGCCCTCCATAGCTGTGGGTTTCTTGCCCACATATTCAACCAACCATACATTGAAAATATCTCTTGTGTGTTTGTATGTGGGGCTCTGGGAGTAATGTACGCCTGTGAGGGTGTGGATGCACACCTGCAGAAGCCAGTGTAGAGCATCGGGTTGGGTGTCCTCTATCACTCACTGTCTGCCTTACTGCCTCGAGACAGGGTCTCTCATTGAACCAGAAGCTTGTTGCTTGAGATAGGCTGCCTGGCCATTGAGCTCTCAGGATCTACCTGTCTCTGCCCCCTAGTGCTAAGGTTACAGGCATGCACTGCAATATCCAGATTTCTCCATGGGTGCTGGAGATTTGAACTCAAGTCTTCATGCTTTCAAAACAAGCTCACTTTACCCATGAAGCCATCTCCTCAGCCCCTAAAAATGTGTATTTTTAGTTATATTTACACTGAACAATGCTCTTTCCTTTGACATTAGTCCCCAAATAATAAAGTATAAAAACTATTCTCTTGAATTTACATTTCAGTATTACAAATAATCTAGAGAATGGTTTAAAGAATACAAGAGGGGGTAATGAGATAGCTCAGTGAGTAGATAAATGAGTTTGATCCCAGGTCACACATGGAGGAAAGAGAAAATCAACTCCTGAAAGTTGTCTCCTGACCTACATACATATGTCATAGTGTGTGCACCCTTGCATGAACATACAATAAATAATAAGCGTAAACATTTAAAATACAGGAGAATGTACAAGGATTATATGCAAACACTATGCCATTTATACATAAGCACCTTGAACATAGATATTAGTGTCTACTGGGAGGGTCCTGGGACCAACGTCTCATGGAAACTAAGGGGCAACCATATATCTTCATTTGGAAGAGCCTGGTCTCTGAAAGGTGAAGAGAGTCCCCCAGAAAACAATTAATGGTCAATGAAAGAAGGCAGTATTTAACACAGGGGGTTCTTTTTTTTTCTTGTTAGAGGTAAGATTGCTCCTTTAAAATTCATTTCAGTGCAGTTGTCAAATCTTGACATTTCCTAGTTAGCATGTACATGCACACACACACACACACACACACACACACACACACACACAAACAAACAAACACACTTCCCAGAGTGGGCCACACAGAAGTATTGAGTGAGGTACAGAAGGGTTAGTCTGTCACTTTGAATCTCCCCACTTATAGGAGTTGTTTTTAATGCTCTATATGGTTTTAACATAATATTTTATTTATTCTGAGATTCTCATACACGCATACAATGTGTTTTGACCGTGTTCCTCTCCCCGCTCCCTACTCTAGCTCCTCCTGAATCACATATATATCCTCTTTCCAACCTCATATCCTCTTTTAGTAAACATATGACCCAAAGAGACTAATTAATGCTGTCCATACATGCATGACCATACTCAACCTAACAGTGGCCACACCCCTAAAGGAAATTGACTTTCTCTTAGTAGCCATCAATTGACAATAACTCCTCATCTAAGGATGGTGCTTGTGGACCCCTGCACATCCATGATAGAATGGTGACTGGCTTGATCTTCTGCAGGTCTTGTGCAGGCAACCACAGCTGTTGTGAGCTCATGAATGCAACAGTTCTGTCATTTCCAGAAGACACCACTTCACCCCAATCTTACCCTCAACCTCTGGCTCTTACACCTATTCCTCATCCTCTTCCATGAAACACAAGTATCCTTATCACCAAAGTGTTTGTACACAAGTCAGTGGTTCTAAAAGTGCAGTCCTCAGACCAAGATGATCTCCATTCCCTATGACTTTGTTACAGTCCTTAGAGCAATGCCCCCCTTAAGCCTCTTGATTCAAAGACTGTGAAGATGGAACTACAAATCCTATATTTTAACAAGACCTCCAGGCAATTCTGCAGCTTTGAGAAACACTAGTCTAAATGAATAGAGAACAGAATTTTTAACCCAGTCCTTTTTCCTCCCCTTGACCTTTTCATGATGTCTTCCTATTACTTACCTGAGCCTTATCAAAAGTCTTGGGAATCGTAACCAGCACGTAGCGGCAGCTCTTGCACCCAGGAGCTCCCTGCAAATGAGCTGTGTCCTCTTCCCTGGGGCATGTTGAGCCCTTGTCTAAGGCATCTGGGTTGGACTCCTCATCTTCAAAGATGTCTTGATGTTCAGAACCCTCAGCCTCCTCTCCCTCTGTCTGCATTGTCTCTTGGGTCAGAGCCAAATCTCCTCCCTGCTCCCTTGAACCATCTGCATCCTTCCACAGGTCTGGCTCTCTCTTTGGGTCCTCCAGATGGGGGTGAGTAGCCTCTAGGAAGAAGAGGTAACCTGCCATCACGTGAGAAGCTCTCTTCCTCCAGCACCTCGGACAGCTCCAACTATCCACTAGAGATTTCCTGGGTCCTAATCTGGAGCCACACACTAGTAAGGAACTCCTCTAGGTTGGGTAAAAAGAGATGTCTTACACCAGACTCATAGAGGGACAACAGCCTGAATGCTGGCTGACACCATAGGTATGTATATGGGTAGGAAGACCTTGTGAGAAAAGCCTGGAATGATCACTGGCCCTTCATCCTATTATATAGATGCTTTGTTTTTGTTTTTGTTTGTTTCTTCCTGAAGGAGCCAGTCCTGGGTCTTGGAGATATCTAACCAGAGATGTGTGAGCAACCCAAAAAGAACACACTGTGACCCTAGCCCTGTGATAACAGCAACAATGACCAAAAGGGTGGGAGAGAGGGAAAAGGAGGAAGATGGATGAGAACGAAAGGGAAGGACTTACCCAGATGAAAAGCAGAAGCTGTCCCCAGCAGGAGAAGAGACAGGACCAGGGCCTGCTTCATATCTCCTTGATCATGTAGTAGAGGCAATTCTGCCTTCGTCCTCAGAACTGTCCTTTTTGTGTCCAACACAGCTTCTGACACATGACATGATACTCGTTTAATTACCTGATTAAAGGGAAGGCCAGAGAGCCTCCTCTTCCTCCTTTTCCTCCTCCTCCTCTGATAGACAGGAAAGTCTGAAACAGGAGTTAGGGATGGGCAACTGAGCTGCAAAAGTGCCCTCTTAAGATCTTCATGGCTGTTTCCTAGGACCGCATTCTACCTAGATTCCAGACCTGCAGGGACAGGTCAGCCCCCAGCCAGAGCTGACTTCACTTATGTGGGAAAAGAAGAGGCAAAGACAGTAGTTGTGGTGATCCTAGAAACAGACTCCCCAGATGTTTGGGTGCTAGTGTCCTCCTGTTTCCTCCCTGACCCTGGCCCAGCACAGCACTCACCTTATGAGAGTCTGTGGTCACCCCCTCTCAGTGGCTGCAGCAATTGCTGCACTATCAGGCCTTATACTGGGTTTTTAGGGAAGTGGAAGGGGCCAGGGTGATTGCTCCAGGCCAGGCTTGGAGATAATGGAGCTGATAATAATTTGTTCAGTTTTGACACCCCAGACCCTGCTCTCTGTTAACACAGCAGAGCCCTGCCCTCTGGGGCCTGCTGCCCTAAGTCAAAGCCCATGTGCACCAGTTTATTTAAGAGGTATGTGTAATGCCATGCCTATCAACCAGATGTAATTAGTATTAATGACCCGAAAGTGTCCAGCCTGAATGATATCCTGTAATTCAGAAGCAACCTTCCAAGGTTCTACGAAGTGATGTGCAAATCCTAGGGAGCAGCTAGGGACTTCGAAGGGAAGGAGGATGAGAGGAGGTGAGCCTGAGCATCCACAAGAGGTGCTTCATAAACAGCACACCCCTGATCCCACCGTCATCCACGTCCACTGAGACTATAGGATTTCCCCGCTTCACAGATACAAACAATAGGATTCACAGAAGTAAAGCTCACTGAGCTTTCATGATTCCCTGGCTAGTTTTTATGTCAACCTGACAAAAGCTAGAGTCATCTGAGATAAGGGAATTTCAACTGACAAATGTTCCCATAAGATCAGGCTGCAGTCAAGCCTTAGAGCATTTTCTTGATTAATGATTGATGGGGAAGGGCCCAGCCTATTGTGGGTGCTGCCATCTCTGGGCTGATGGTCCTAGGTTCTATAAGAAAGCAGGCCGGGCGGTGGTGGCGCACGCCTTTAATCCCAGCACTCGGGAGGCAGAGCCAGGCGGATCTCTGTGAGTTCGAGGCCAACCTGGGCTACCAAGTGAGTTCCAGGAGAGGCGCAAAGCTACACAGAGAAACCCTGTCTCGAAAAACCAAAAAAAAAAAAAAAAAAAAAAAAAAAAAAAAAAAAAAGAAAGCAGGCTGACAGACTGATCTACAGAGCGAGATCCAGGAAGGGCACCAGAACTACACAGAGAAACCCTGTCTCAAAAAAAACAAAACAAAACTAACAAACAAAAATAGCTGGGCGGTGGTGGCGCACGCCTTTAATCCCAGCACTCGGGAGGCAGAGGCAGGCGGATCTCTGTGAGTTCGAGGCCAGCCTGGGCTACCAAGTGAGTTCCAGGAAAAGGCGCAAAGCTACACTTATATGGAAATGTGCACTTTCTTCTCCCATGTTGCTTTTGGTTATGGTGTTCCATCATAGCAATAAAAACCCTAACTAAGACTCATAAGAAGTCAAGGAGCAGGGATTTCTAAGTCCTAAACATTCTCACATTCTCTCTCTCTCTCTCTCTCTCTCTCTCTCTCTCTCTCTCTCTCCCTTCCTCCCTCCCTTCCTCTGTCCCTCCCTCCTTTCTCCCTCCCTCCATCCTTCCCTGTTCACAAACTAGGCCCTTTCTAGTTCTCATCTTCAATATGTATACTGTTTCTTCTGTACTATGGACCTGCATCAAGTTTCTCAACATTTATGTTCTTAATACATAGACCATGTATTAGTTGTGGGGGCTGCTCTACGCATTATCTAAAGTTTAATAGCACCATTTATCTGTATCCATGAGATGTCTGACATCACACATACACCCAGAAGGCAACAATCGAAACATTTGATCTCCTGATGTCCTCTGGATCATTTAGAGACCACCAGCCTGGACTATATCATTTCATCCAACCTCTAGATGTACCTCCAGGGCTGGCAAAGAACTGGGATGAAAATCCTCATGTTAAGTCTTCCGGTCAATCTGTAAACCACCTAGCCCTCCCCACCCTCACTGTCTACCTCCCACCAGCCCTCTGACACTAACAGGCTTAGGACTAGGATCAAGCAATGAAACACTCATCTCAGACCACAAATTTAAAAAGATACTAAACAAATTCAATATTAAATATAAGTAATATTTAATGCAAACATTCTTAAAATCAAATTGCATACAAATATATTCACAATGACTAATTTTATTTAAACAGCCAATCTCCAGTTCATTCACTGTTGCCTAAAGAGAACACAGTGAGTTTATAGCCCTAGCTTTGCCACATCTTCCTGCCAAGAGCTTGTGGATTGTTGGGAGTGAGGTTGATGCAATTGGGAGGCGTTCTGTTGGACAGTGCACACTTGTTATCTATATACTGGCCCACACCTCCAAAGAAGCAGATACGGGTCGCTTAGAGGGCAAGATGGCCGGAATGCCTTGACTTCCTCTGCTCTCCCAAAGGACCTGTAATTGGAGAAGAAACTGAGAGGCCATTTCCTGGCCTGATTTCAAAGTAACGGTCTTGGCCCTTATCTCTCCACCCAACAGACCAGACTGTTTGCTTATCTACCTGACAGTGGGAAGGTTGGTCAATTCCAGTACCCCCAAAACTTGGTCTATAAGTTTCAAGTTTGAGATTGCTCCAGTGAGAAAAGGAGAAACATAGATACCCTTCCCTATTGCTCTCCTTCACCCTGGGGCCCACGACAGAGGTGACATTTCACTGGATGTCTGGGATGAGTCCCATTGGTTGCTCTTCTCATGAGCCAGCACCACCATAAGCCTGGCACACATTATTTCTTTTTACAAATCTCCAAGTGCTTAAAGGAGTTGTCCAAGATTCCATGGCAAGTCAGAGACCAGCCTAAACCCAGGGTTTTATGCACCCCACCTTGGTCTTCCTCTCTTTGACTTCTGTCTTCTCCAACCCCATTCATTGATTCACATGGATCCTGTTTTCCTTGCACACAAATCCTGAAAAAAAAAAGCCATTCCAAAAGCTTCAGTAACTTTGTCGATGGCCATAGTGACTCCTCTGCAGTTGAAAAACAGAAGTAATGTTTTTGAAGGTTTGCTCCAGACCAGGCACTATGTTTCCACAAGGTTTTTAACAGCTATTACTTCCATATGTAATCCTAAAAATTTATCCTACAAATTGGGTATTAACCACCTTAACTTCACAAATTTACTGAAAAAAAACTAATAGAGGTGAATGATTGTTCCAGTTCTCACAGTTCACAAGTCCTTGTTTCCTTCCAAATGTGTTACCCTGACAATCTAGCCAATGGTACCAATGCTTCCAAGTCTCGGTATCACTGTTTTCATTTATGTTCAAATTGGCGTTTTGTTCCAAGGTTCAGTTGTACCCTGTTTCATCCAAACAATGAATTTAATCATGATGAGAAGCTAGCAGCCTGATATGTAATAAAATCCCAAACTGAAGACAGTGACAAGATCTTCCTCTAAAGAAACCAGCCAGGGCAGAGCTGTCAGAGAACTGTCTGGTGTGTGGAGCTGGGGTGTCGTTGTGAGATAAGGCCCTTCGAGCTTCCCATGGTCCTTGTCAGTGAATGGGTGATGCTCTGTGCTTGCTTAGGAGGCTGAGTGTCTACCCTGTGCTTTGCATGCTGCAGCACTCTGGGCATTCCATCGAAAGGGTTGATCTCTGCTGCAGAGAGCTCGGTCAGCATCTTGCCAAAAAGGAAGAATGCTCACACAAGCTATCTCTTGGGATACAAGGCCAATCTACTTATTTTATTTATTTAATGGACTTTTTTTTTGAAACAGGGTCTCATGTAGCCCAGGCTGACCTCACCATGTAGATGATGATGATCTTGAACTTCTGATCCTTCTGCCTCCACCTCCCAAGTACTAGGATTACAAATACATGCCTCCACTCCTGTTTTATGTGGTGTTAGGGATAGAACCCAGGGCTTCATGCATGCTGGGCAAGCACTCTACCAACCATGCTACATCCCTAGACCCACTTTACTTAAAAAATATGGTTTTATGTATGAATAATATAGTCACCTTTCATGTGGATTTCTAGATATTCATCTTGTCCTAAAACTCCAGTTTACCGTTTTACCAAAAGGGTGATTCTCACCATCATCGTGATAAGGAAGGAAATCACAAGGTCAAAGCAGTGTGGAGGAGTTAAGCCTCCTGAGCAAGTACAGTCCACTACTTAGCATGGTAAAGTACCCTGGAGCTTCCTCCTTGGCATCCTTTAAAGAGACTCCCATGGAGCAGGTACCACAAAACCCGCTAAGAGAAACAAGACAAAAAAAAAATCTACCTAACTCTCAGCCTGGAGTTCTGAATGTAGTAGATGCTAGCAAATGGTGGTGGGGAGTATCTTGTCTTATTCATGTGTTCATTCACTCGTTCTTTTATGGCAGTGCTGGAATCCCGACTCAGGACTTCACATGCGCCAGGCAGCTACTCTACCACGGAGTTATGGTCCCAGCCCCTCATCATCTTTATTATTAATATTAAAACAAGAACAGCAGTGCTGTCCCACAGCAGAAGATGGCCTCCATGAGTGGTGACAGTTCTTTCTCAGCTATATCCTCATAGCACCCACCATGGAGCCAAACCCACAGACTTTCCGAAGATCACCATATATAAAATCAACAGCTGACGTGGTACAGTGGTCGCATGGACCAAAATGTGGCTCTGTCTCTTTTTCAGCTTACAGAGTAACTAACCTTGAACAAATAGACCCTCTTCTCTGAGTCACTCAAAAACTCTCAGGTCTTCTTTTGCTTCCCCAGGACCCTGGACCCACATAGAGTTGGAAAATTCTTGGAAGAAAAGGGCTCAGGCCATTGA